CCGCCCCCTTCCCCCCTCCAGCAGCACACCGCTGCCCAGCCCTGGCCTCCTTGCAGTTCCTCAAACACAACAGGCCTCAGAGCCATTGCACTAGCTGCTCCCTCTGCCTGGAGTGCTCTTCCTCCAGATACTGGCATGACTGGCTCTATCATTTCCTTTAAGTATTTCTCAGATGTCACCTTCTCAATGAAGCCCACCCTGATTACCCTATTTAAAACTCAACCTCCCCATTGCCACAATTTCATCTCCCTTACCATGTTCTATGTTTTCCACACCATGTATTATCTTCTAACTCATTTATTATGGTTTATATTATTAATGGAATAAGATTTAGCGAGGGATATAGATAATACACAGGAAATAAAAGCATGAGTGTAGGCAAGTTTTCTGTAGTGGTCCGTGCTACAATGAACACACAACCCCGGATGTGATAGACTTGAGGGTAGGTGCAAGGGTTCAGAATAGGCCTCCGATGATGTGCTACTTCAGCATGTGGATTATTTTGAGCTGAAGGCAATGCAAACCCTGTAGGCTCAGGAGAAACTTCTGCACCCCCACCACTACCTAGAAGAATTTAAATGAGGAGCTTTGCCCATGATAAGAGTTATTACCAGATAGAACGTTTTATGGCCTATCTCTAAGGCAGGGCAAACATCTGCTCTTTTTATCAATCTGTGAATTCTTACAGCTCTCCTCCCCTCTGAAGCACCAGGCCTCTTACCACACTCCTGAGCTCAGAATGTCAGGGACACCTTATTTGACCTTTCTGGCTCTGAACCTCTATGTAGGTGGGGTCTCTGAACCTCTCAGGGATGTGGGGATCCTGGATGTACGAATGTCACTAGATGTGGTTCTTTTCTCTTGTTAACCTTTCTCGTGTTGATTGACTTATTTGACCAGCAGAAAGAACCTAGAAGGGCAGAGGAACTTTTCTTCCCCTCCCACACAGACTTTACAGGTACGTCAGGGAGGAGACCTTTGAGCTGAGACATACTTGGTATGAAGGAGTCCGGAGGAGGTGGAGCTGAGGGGTAGGGATGAGCAGGAAGAGCACTCTGGGCTGCAGGTACTGCCAGGGGGACAGCTCTGAGGTGGGAACAAGTTCGCAGACATGGTTTCAGCTTATTGGCCTCTAGGGACATCGGGAAATCCCAGCCTCCTGCATTTGGGGGGCAGGGGTGGGGACAGGCAGCTAACGTTATACTTGAAGACTGATTCTGTCTTTGCCAACAATTTATTTAGCACAGGTTCATTGTGGGAATTACAATAATTTCAGAAGCCAATAGCATATCTCTTAATAAACCATACTCCAAAAAACCCTGACAGATTAATCACACTAATGTTCCAGGCAAGGGGAGGTGAAGGAACAATGTCCGAATTTAATAGGCGTGACTTCTTTACAGGAGGACACACTCTGGAGAATCAGCAACCAATCAAGAAGCTGATTTCCAGCCCTAACCGGTTTGGCTCAGTGATAGAGCATGGCCTGCGACTGGAAGGTCCCAGGTTTGATTCTGGTCAAGGGCATGTACCTGGGTTGCGGGCACATCCCTGGTAGGAGGTGTGCAGGAGGCAGCTGATTGATGTTTCTCTCTCATCGATGTTTCTAACTCTCTATCTCTCTCCCTTCCTCTCTGTGAAAAATTAATAAAATATATTTTTTTAAAAAAAGAAAGAAAGAAGCTGATTTCCAGCTGCCAGCACAAAAGTAAAAGTCCCCTTGCTGCTAGAGCACTGTTGCTAGGGAACCAAAAGGCCAGTGTTAGCTGGGAGCCCGCGGCAAGGTTTAACACCACCACCACCACCCCACCCTCAAGAGTCAGGAGCAAATGTCGCAAGGGTCTTTGGAGAGTTTTTACGTTACAGAGTGTCGCTTTGCCCAAACCGACACTCTCAAATAGTCCTCCCATTCTCAGTATTTACAGTCAATGTCCCCTTTTCATAGCTGCTCCTCCTCGGGTCCTTAAGGACCAGCCCCCAGCAGGCCCGTAGGCAGCTGGGCTGCTGGCTGCGTAGGAACTGACTCCACATGTAGAATGATGACCTCCTGACTTCACACTTAGATCAAAGCAACCTTTTTGGGGTCATAAAAAGTGGATTAAAACAACTTCACTTAAGTCATAAGCAAGCGGATTGACCTGAAATCACATTAAGCAAACACGAAACACAGGCCCACCCGCTGGGCCGGACCCAGGCAGAACCTGGGGCGGGGGGAGGTGGGCGGGGGTTGCAGGCCATGGGAGTGGCACAAGGGGAAATAGAAACCCCCAGAAGCAAAGACCTGGTGACTCCAGGACCCAGTGGCGTGGCCAGGAATCTCAGCCGGGCCTTGCGGGCTGAGTAGGAGCCCGCCCAGCGGAGGCGCGGGGCTGGGCCTCCGGGCTCGGCTCTGCGGACAAGTGGGCGGGGCAGGGAGAGGGGGACGAGTGGGGAAGAGAAGGCCCCGGGGCCCTCGGGGCGGGGAGGGTGCCGGCCAGGGGAAGGA